TACCTTATAATAAGAGTGACAATCTCACGAGAATCAATTTTCATCGAATTCTTCTTTGATTGTTAATATGCCGGTCAATGTAATTTTTTTTTTCATTTCTGCCGTTTGCAAGTAAAATGGCAATGAATTTCAGAAAAACCTGAATTACGTATTCTAAATGACTTTGATTTCTCTTGACATGACGAATCGAACGATGTTTTTACTAATTTTACGAAAATTTTCTAACTTTTCGGCAGAATAAGAAACAACAAATACGTAGATTGGCAAAAAGTAAGAAAATGAACTACATGTAGTGACAAGATAAGAAACAAAAATACGACCTTTTTTCGCTTATTATTTTTGTATTGAAGACATGAAAAACAAGATGAATTCGATTTTTTTTAAAGAAAAAACATCACTCAATACGTCATATCAAGAGAAATCGAAGTCATCTAGATAGAGAAATGTTTGTTCTACTCTGGAAACTGAAACTTAGCTTTGTACGACGTCGAATACTCGAGTTATCCAAAGTTTACGAAATAAGAATATTTTTCCGGCAGAATTATGTCTACTGACTCTTATGAAGTTCTTAGAAATTTTAACAGATATAAAGTGGTTGTCGGTGTTATTAAATAAACTGATGAAATGATAAAAGTGATAGGCACATCAATTTAATACTATCTCGGAAATATATGAGACTTGACATAAGAGACATTATGATAGAGAACAAGATTCGTTGAAACTTTGTTTTATATATTCAAAAAATGTTAAGATAATAACAGAAAGAATAATCTATAAATACTCATCGATTTCTTTCATTGATCAATGTCGTTTTTTTTAATGTGGTGTTTTGGGGCGATTTTTGAGATATTCTGCAATTTTTGGTTGCTTTTCAACTTCTGCACGATTTTGTTTTAACCATGGATAATTATTTAAACAATTTTCATCTATTCCAAGAAGAGTTTCTAATATATCGTAAAATAATAAATCTGCCCATGTTAAATGATTATCAACAAAGAATGGACCACCATTACCATATAATTTACCGAAAACATCCAGATTTTGTAAATGTTTAGGTACTTTTTCATCAAAGAATTTTTTCATAAGTTCTTGCTTTTTTGCTTTATTTTTTTCGAAACGAGGTGGGATAAATTTACTTAATAAATCATTAATTGTATCAGCAACAGCATCGACTTTGGCTTGTTCAAAATTGTCTCTACCAGCCAAATCAAATTGTTTAGCAAGAGAACGAGCTATAGATAATGATTGTGGTAATTTTGTTCCTTCAAATTCTAAAACAGGCATTTGACGCAAAGGCATTTCAAGTTTATGTGATGGCCATTCAGAACCTTCATAACGAATATCTTCATATTTTTGACCAGAAATAGCAAATATTAAACGGGAGACTTCAGCACGACCACGTCCATTAAAAAAATAAAGTTTATATCGTGACATAGATGCTGGTTAAATATTGATTCAATTATCGAAGAAAGAAGAAAGAGAACGAGGATAGTTCGAAGGAAGCATATTCTTTTTTTTACGTCATCGTCATTGCACGAATACCTAGAAGAAGAGACAAAGAAAAGAAACACCAATGATATTGCAAATTCCTTCTCAATTTGGATTCAAAACTTATAGTGTGATTCATGTTTGTGATATTCCTTTCTTTTCTTCTCTTATGTCTTATAAGATCACACATATAAATTGATTTTTTTATTGATTTTGTTTTACCAAATCTCTGGTTAATTTTATTGAAATATTTGCCTTATAACAAAAACTTTGTCATGATATTCTGAAATCGTTTAGAACTATTGATGACATATATAGATGCTGGAAATCGAAAGTCTTGAGGATGCCAATGCATAAGTGCTGGCAGAGTCATTGAGAAAGAGAATATTTCATATCTAGGCTCTTCTTTGAGAAATGAATACTAGAAAAATTCTAATGATTAAAAATATAAACAGAAAAATTTTTCTTTTTCCTTCTCTCTCGTTCTCCTTCATACCAATAATACTTCATTCACCAATCATTTTTTTTTCTCTTCCTCTACACATACCGGTCCTTCATGATAATCAGAACGACACATAAACAGCAAGATGTCATCATATTCCTGTCATTACGAATAGATGAAATTCAAAGCAACACGCACAATAAGAAAAAACCTAAATTAACATATGCAACGATGTACTAAAACATATTTAACACTTTTACTTGAGGAAAAAGGGAATTTGTTGATGTTTTGTTTTGTATACTTCTTAGAAAGACACAATGAAAAAGCAACATTATTTGAATGATTGTAGTATTAAGATCTGGATTTGCCCTTTTGGGAGGAAATCCAAGCATTGATTCGTGCTGTAAAGGTACTCATTCGATAGAGCTCGTCGAGTTCTATCGATCTATGTCATTTTCAGTTTTTGGTCCCAGCTGGGAGCGAATCCCGCTCGGGTTTTCGTTGAAAAACCAGATTTTCTGGCTATAGTGGGATTTTAGGTGGAAGGAAATTACCTGGAATATGTTGAAAGGTGTCCATTCGATAGAGCTCGTCGGGTTCTATCTTTTTGTACGGTTGTCAAGCTTTGGTCTCACCTCAGTACGAATCGCGGTGCGTGTACGGAAAAAATCGGATTTTTTGCTGATTTTCTTACAGTATTTTAGGGTTTTTTCCCACTTGGAAAAGTATTGGAGAAAAAGTAAATAGTGAATTGGATAGAACTCGTTGAGCTCTATCTTGGTCCGCAAAGTTTAGTCTTTGGTCCCAACTATGAGCGAATCCAGTTGCGGAATATGTGAATCCAGGTCCAAGATATCCTACGTTTTATTTTTGCTGCATCTTGTAGTTTACTTTATTTTTTAATAAAATGCATTAAGTGATAACAGGCAGAAAAAAACAACGGTCATTCGTTATAGTCTACCAGTTAATTAGATTAAGAGAGATTTCAAAATATACTAATAAGAAGATCTTGTATTCGATGAACAATTATTCATTCATTGATAGTAAATCAAAGTATCAGAATAATTATTATATAAATTTCATATCTATTGATCACTCATAATCAAAGAAGTTGATCTTCTTATGAAAAATATTTGTTTTTCTATTTATATTTCTTTGACTTTTTCACACTAAATAGTTCCATTGATTTATACGTCAATTGAACATAACAAGTAATGTCATCTTTAATTAATAGTTGAGTTCAATATTTTTGTTTTTCTTAATGATTCTATTTGAGAAAAATGCATCTATGATTAAAAAAAAAACAAAAATATTAAAATGATTCATTTCACCATAGCAATGAATATATGTACAACGAGTTTTTCTCTTCGAATACTGCCATCTATCAATGTAAATCAAGAGATTCTAAGAACTGGAAATTCAATTCAAATATTTGAGAACATTTATTAATAAAAGAATATTCAATAATACTCATCGTCAATTGACAAGAGCTTCAAATTATTTGACAATTTCTTACTTGAAATTGAATAGACATTCTGCACATACTTCAATTCGATTGACAGGATCAATGGTTTTCAAAATGGTTTTTTTTCAAATATGGGTCTTTAGATTTTTACTCTGAGAAGTTCGCGGTGTCACATCATGAAATTTAGCGGTTTACTCTGCCGTGAAACAAAACTCTTATTTTTTTAACACAAGTAAACCTTTAAAAATGAATGGTTGTTACTAGTTTGTATGTATTATAAAAGAGTATTTATGTCTTTCATTTATGCTACTTGATGTCATGAAAGTGAAAAATGATTGTGACGTATGTCCAAGACAAAGAATACGAAATATTTATATGTTTCGTAAAAAATTATGTTAGGTTGTATACGTTTGTCTTTTGATGATTAATATAGTATAATATTATGATGGTACATCTTTGTGATCGTAAACGACGCTCTAGAGTCAAACATGAAGCAAAACTGAGATTGTACACAATTTTTGTATAGAAAGGCGGCAAGCAAATGTTTTTGTATCCGTCAACCTTTCTATTGGATTGGATTTAATATGAAGATCTATGACCGTAATTGTTTGTCTGAGTGCTGGAATTTTTTTTAAAATGCCTCTTAACGTGTGTTTTTGATGAGGTAGAACAAGGCGATGATGGGACAATGTTAATCTCACTAAGAAAAAAGATATTGATTAACTATTAATACAAACCGTATTATAATACTTCATAAAAAAATGTCTTAAATTTTTGTGAGAAAGAACAACTCATGTGTTAATGATCACATCATCTCTGAATAAATGCTTTCAAAATGAAAGAAACTGCTTTCTGACATGGTCTATTGAATTTTTTTTTGTTCTGAATTTGTGGAAAAGATTATGAGAATAACGATTGGATTCCTGACATTACCTGCAAAATTTTTTTCCATTGGACAAGAAGACAAACACGAGTGGAATTTCCACAATAATTTTATGCATAAAAATGAAGTTGTTAACTCAATCTTTTCAGTTTTTCTAATAGACTAACATTCTATGTAAGTATGACAATTAAACCTTATACTTATTTTTTAATTAATAAAATATTATATACTTTACTCATGTAACTTTATAGGACAAATAACACACATGAACAGATTCTTAATTTTGATAGTGAGTTAATAATTTACCAATAAATCAATCGGATTGATATATATTTTAGGTTATACAAGTCAATTGAATACACCAAATCAATTAGTAACTGACAATTATCATGGCGAAAATATAGTTGAACGTGATATAAATTGTGAATTCCAATCATCAAGTAAATATCTATGACAATAATAAAAATGTATGGTCAGATTGGTTTCATTTTTTTATGTAGATTGTGATGCATTATCAAATCAAAATTATCAGAGTAAATATGCATTTATATTCGTTTGCTAAGGTTACATTTTTGCTTTTTGTGAAACATGATCGAGAAGAAATACTTTTCAAATCAGATAGAATAAAACAGTTCCATTGTGATTAACAACCGTAGTTACATTGTGTTTCATATCTTGATCCCGTGAAGATAAGACTAACAGCTGTTTTGCATTAAGGGCATATGATAGAATCAATTATACAATCTGTACGGAACTTAGAACTATCAAATAGAAGAATTGAAACAACTCTTCTTCAACAAGAGCAAACAAATGCAATAATTCTTCAAACACTTCAACAGTTAATACAATCAAATACATTAATTAATCAAAGTAATCAACAATGTGTTCAATCGGGACCAGAAAAACATAGTATGATTTATTGAAAATATTGTACTTATGCTTAATAGAATAATTTAAAATTTAATTTAGTGTGTGATTCACCACTGAGTATCGGTGCAATAGAAATGGATTGTCAACTTCCAGAAATATTTCAAAATGCAGAAACATCAACGAATGGTAAGTGCACTTTGATATAGAAAATTACTAATATAGTTCGCAAGGATTTTTCAATATTTCAAACTTACTTATTATTTGTCTTGTATAGGAAATGAAAATTTTATGCAAGTTAATCAAGAGAATTATACTGCGCCCTTATCATATGATTCAGCTTTTACTACGGTCGGCTCCAATCAAATTTCATTTGGACTTGTGACAAAAGATGAATTAAGTAGGTGAAATCAAATTTCAATGATACTTGTTGAATTAGTTTCTTTTTATAACATAGATCCTAATGGTCAATCATTCGTTCTACTTGATGATATTGAAAAATCTCCATTGACAATAATTCAAAGCATTATTCATCAAACAAATTGTAGATGTGATTCATGCATTAGAAGAGAAGAACATGTAACAGTTTCACTTACTACCATCGATCGAAGTAAAATTAAAAAAGGTAAATTTTATTTTCTATAGTCATACTGATGACATGTAGTGTATTGTCGTCTATCACAAAAGTAATAAACTTTCTTATCGATTTTATTCATCATCTATAGGAAATCAATCAAAACATAATAAGGGATCGAAGAAAAATCTAATAGACCTTCAACCACCACATCAGTTAACTATAACCAATAAAATTCAAGTGAACAATCATGAGGGTAAACGTTTTTTTTTTTCGTTTTAGATTTAGTTGAATGAAAAAATTTTTTTGTTATTAGTAGGATCTACTGAAATTTGTTTACTTAATCCACTCAAAGAAGAGCTCAGCCCAAAAACAGATAGAATTACTAAACTAGAGGATTGTTTTGGTCAATCTCCAACTTTAGTCGTGGTTAGTAAAATAATAGAAATACATGAAATTTTTATATTCATTTTTAATATATTAGCGTGGTGATGATTTACCTGATAACATTTCTATGGAACTAGCCATAATAAGTGGATCATCGACAGATCGATATCACAGTGTTTATCAATTTTCTGAAAAACCAGGTGAACATAATGATATCATTCATCGTTCGATTAAAAAATGTTGCAATAAACCAAACATGATTGAGTAAGCACACAAGAATATCCAATGTCTTACTAAGAAACATTTATATTGCCAGACTCAAAAACTTGAAAGTGCGTAAAAGATGCGATAACAAAATGAAAGATGGAGAGACTTATATACTTGAACATTATCCATCAGGTACATATATATTCTTCTTATTAGAGATTTTTATTTATGTTATGATTTAATAGGTGAGGAAATAGATACGGGAATACATAGTCAAAAAAACTTGAACCATGAATATAATCTTAAATATTCACAACTTGCGATTCGTTTTTTTCCTGAGAACTCATCAGTACCATTACAAATCGACTTTCTTTCAAATAAACTTTCTCCAGGTAATTTAATATACTTTCATAATGGACCTTTTTTTTATGATTGCTTTTTTAGTATCAAAGGAACAATATAAACCGCATGTTTTAAATATTTCAATTGGAAGTCATTGCGGAAAGACAGTATTATTTGATCCTCATAATAAATGTTTGATGAGGTTGTCAGTAGAAGTTTGTATTGAGAATATATCCTAATTAGTAAATAATACCTGCTACTATTTATTTAGATTCCGGAAATTTTTCATTGTACACTTGGAACACGTTGGAAATGGTTAGAAATATCAATAATTGTCAACAATCAACTAAGTCCTATTTATTCTATTGACTTACAAGATAGAGTTGGCGATAGAAATCCAAATTATTACAATATTCAAGAGAAATCATTCGAGTGAGTTGCACATTAATATCTATCTTATGCGAAAATATGAAAAAAAAAGCAATTTTTTTAATATATATATATTTTATTATGTATTTCAATTCGTAATTTTTCAAAAGATAATCGAAGTTAAATTGATTTCAAATAGTTGATTGAATGACCTATGATAAATCTAATTTTCCTCTTATTTATTTTTGTTTACTAATTTTTTCTTCTGAGCAATATTTTGAAGTTACTTTTTAGTAGAATTAGATAAGTTTGAAAAACAAAACAAAAGAAAAATCATTCTTTATCTCGAACAGAAATATATTTCAGTTGGCTATTCAATAGGCGACTTCGATTTCAACTTCTGATAGACATCAAAATTTTATATTGAATTTTGAAATCTCGATTTTCAAATAGGTCGAGAACTAGACATTCAGTCATTTCGGTGTTCATCTTCTGATAACATAAACTAAATTTGATTAAAGTATAAGCGATTCTGCCTGATAGATGTGTCATACACGAATTAAAAAAAGCAGACTGAAACATACGCGAAAACGGCAATTCAAAGTTGAGCACTTAAGATTCAATATCTTCGAATACCTAAATAAATTCATGAAGTATTTCTGAAACTACTCTTATACCATTCAGTCGAATATGATAAGCGTCACTACTACTGATAGAAAGATAATTGTGTCCTTAGCTGGGATTAGAGGTGTAAGCCATCCAGCTGCGCTGCCGCCTCTGACATTTTTAGTAGCAAAAACGTTTTTGTTTTTTGGTTATCAAAGCCGCCGCCATGGAAAAACAATTAAACCCTTAAAACAGTCGCTGTCGTTTGACTGTTCCGCTTACACCTCTAGCTGAGATTGACTCTGCTTGATCGAACCAAATTCGTACTGTATATTGAAATCAATGAATCGGATACTCTGTGAAAGCTCAATAAGTTACAGCATTTTCCATTTGTATTCGATCGTCGAATTTAAATGAGCCTGGTGAAATCTGAAAGTTTCAAAAACGATGAAACCCGATCCTGGAAATTTTAAGAATTTTTCTCATAAAATATTCTTTCAATAATTATTTAATATGATGGAATTCTCTGATTTATTTACATAGGATGATGCCAGATCACTTCAGAGATGGTAGGTTCTATCAGTCGGATCCGATTGAAGAATGGAGGGAATGCGATACACATTCTTCAATCGAAATTATGGGAAAAAAAAAACAGTTTGCTCGAATCGGAACGCTGTATAAAATTAAATTTTAAAATCATTTCATGATGAACGATTTTTGCTTCAACTTTGTAAATTTGAGATAGCTTCTTTTTTTTCTAATATTTTTTGTATTAAATATTAGAATAATCTTTATAATTTTCCATTGAATTTCTTTGCATGTATGTCGAAAAAAATTTCTTTTCTAGTATACCTTTCGAAATTGTCAAGAAAACATCTGAATTAATCCACAATGTGAACATATATGAAACATTATCTACCGATCAATCTGAAGGACCAATTAATAATTCAAGTAATAAGTTTTTCGACGATCTATTCAATTTTTTAGTTTCAAAAATATTTCTTTTTATTAGACAGTAATGAATCTTTCAAAAATCAAAATAATTCAACATTAAATATACAAGTTCTTAATCGTTTTTATATTCAAATCGAATTCGTACATATTGGAGATTCTCCTAATGAACCACTCCAACGATATGATAAAATTTGTTCACAATGGAAGAGTGAAGAATATAAAGATTGTAAGTGATATATTTTGTCGCAATTTTACAGCAAACGACATGGATTATTATCGTAGTTTTCGATGGCAACAAAAAATACTTCATTAATTATCATAAAAAAAATTTTATTTTATGAATAATTTGAGCACTACATAGTTCTTAGTAGTATGCATTTTTGAAAAAAGGTGTAGTACTCAACAGAATGGTCTACTGTTGTATACGGCGCCATAGTACAGAGTACTTCGTTTTAATCAAAAGATATATTATCTAGAACTGAAGAATATACGATTTATTTATAGAAATAAAATTTTTTGTGATAATTATTGAGATAAATTTACGATCGATTAGAAAAGTGACTGAACTTTCGAATTGAGTCGATACTTTGGCCTTCCAATAATAACAATTGTTTATTCTAGGTATTGTGATTTCAAACAATATCGAACGAACACCTATTTTAGAAAGCCAACGAGCAGGTATGATTATGTATTAGTCTTTTGTTGTTGTTTCGCGACAGAAAACTATTTTTACTGAAGATATTTAGTTAAAAGGAAAAATTCTTTTACATTCATGTAATTTTTATGTTTTTAGTTCCACATTTTGAACAGACACAAACAAAACAATTTGACGATGAGCCTTGCAATTATGCTCTTGGGTATATAATAATTCATATTATTATTAATAAATATAGAAATTCTTTTTATTTTTCTCATTAGATTACCAATCACCATAGCATCAATCAGAACTGAAAATGACAATTAAATTTTTTAAGCATATAAATAACTAATAATTGGTAAAATTTCTATTTTAATTTCGCATTATTAACTACGCCAGATTTTTATTTTCTTTTTTGTATACTATTTTTATTCTACTTTTCCTATAAATAAAAGTGCTATTGTTTTCCTTATTATAAGCATTGTCAAAATTTTATTTCTATCCTAATAATGATTTGATTACCTAGAAATATGTGTAAACCAACAATTGAGCCATTCGAAACTTGGGTCTTTAGTGATTAATTATGAAAAAAACAATACTCAATTACTTTGTTCAACTTAAAATAAGGGAACAAATACATACGACATGTTCCTATGAGATTTATGACTCACTATTAAATTCTTCTATAGGCTACATCAATAATCTTTACGATATGAAAACAAATAAGTTTTTCGAATTATATTTCTGTTTTTTTTCTTAATCTATTCTTCATTACTGTTCTATCCTATTCTATTATTATTGTACAATGTCTATTGTAAAACTCTCAAAAAACAAGAATCAACTTATACTTGATGGCTTTTGTCACCACCATACGAATAAATCTCAAACCAACTGGTGTTGCTGTAGAAATAATTGTGCAGGTAGTTGTGTACTTTGATGATAGAAAATATGTTCAAGTCACAGATCATATTCATGTACCAAATTCTAAAGAAATACTATCAGTGGAATTTAAATCAAAAGTTTCAGGTAGTGCAATAACATTGCATGATCTATCTCGACTAATTTATTCAAAAAACTTATTATTTTCTTGTATTCTGTTGTCTGTTGTTTAATAAGGACTTCAAGTATCGAGAGCTGAACTATTGGGAGAAGGTTCAACTGTCATGTCATCGTAGAAATGAATCTGAACTTTGTTTTGCAATGTGGAATATTTCTTAAGTGAGAGAACAGAAAGATTATATGTATGATCAGTGCCATGTATAGAGATGTAAGTTGGTGCATTAATCGGTTGGAATTTATTGATAAAAAAGAATTCATTTGATAAATCAGGAATTTTAAAAATCAAATATCTATTTTTGTGGTAGTGGTGGCTTAGCTAATTGACCTACACTGCGAAATGTGTCTAATGAATATTTTTGTATTGTTGCAAAATTTAGTAACTTTGAAAAAAATTTTTTTTTACGCTGTGTTTCTTGTACTTTACGGCAATAAAGTAATTCGATAATTTCAAGCTTTTCGATGCACAATAATTAGAATAGATAATTTCTTTTGAATGATAAAAGAATAATCAATTAATTAATTATATCTTTAATATAGAGCAAGTTGTCATGTAGAATTTTTTTTTTGTGCTAGTGTAAATTCATTGAGCTTTACATAGCACTATTCTTAAAGATGTTTGTGGACTGAGCTTTATTATGATTGATATTGTTTGATTATTCAGTCAAGAAAAACAATATAACTTTTCACCTAATTTTCATCTAATATTTCTTTGTTAATTATCATAATACGCTCAAGCTATATGAAATCGTACAGTATGAAAATTAACGTATTTGAGATTTAATAAAATATTATGCAGCGTCATAAAAATCTAAAAATAAATCGATGAATATTACTGGATGATCAATGTAATTCGAATCTGTAATAAATGACTGACTTATGACACATTCCCGATGTGAAAATAATTGAAAAAGCGATCTGTTTATGGTTAGGAACAAAAACTGACAGAGAATCGCTTCAGATATCAAATCACTTTTTGACTAAGATGATATTAATTTGATGAGTATTAGTAAGTAATAGAAAAATCTAGAATCGTATAATTTTCCTGACAGCCGTTTCGAAGATATCGAAATTTTACTGGATTTTTCCATAATAAGCTTTGATTCTACTCAGACTTAAAACTTTACATGAACAAAGTTCTGAATGAGATTAGTTCATTGGGCAAGTGGTAACTTTTCTAGTATCTTCTATCCTGAGATATTCAATATTTGAAACGTGCTTATGTATAGAAGCAAATTTTGTTTATATATTTATATCTTCAGAAAGTAAATACATGCGAAGCAAAAACTTGTACAATTGACTAATCTCCCTAAGAACTTTATTCATGTAAAGCTTGAAGTCTGAATTGAAAAGTCATTTTTTCAGGTGATCTGAGCAGACGTCAGCTTTCTGTTGGAAAATCCAATAAAATTTCAATATCTTAAGAGCCAAGGCCTCAAAATCAAATCATCTAGTGCTCATCAAATGAACATAGTCTTGACCAAAAAGCAATTTCACATCTGGAGAGGTTCTCGCGTGAACGGCAATTGGACATCTCTTCATACATTGTTCCCTCTTGTCAAAATTTCCTCTTGTTGTTTTTCATCGTTTTTCGAAGGTCATAAAAGATGTCGCTTTGATTGCACTCAGTATGATTAAACAATATCCTTTATTAATTGAATAATTTTGTAAAATATTAAAAAGTTAATATTGTCTAAACTAGAGATAAAAATTATTATAGAAGTAAAATTGATATGTTTTAAAGATTTTATTTTATATAAACTATTTCAAGATTGATTATATTGCAAATAACTCGGGCATGACAGAAGCTAGTTTTCTATAATGAAGAAAAAGGATATATATAACATTTCAAGATAGTCATTTGATAGAGAAAATCAACGCCGACTTATCGAAATGATTCTGTTGAGGTGTTATAAGTGTTCTTCTGAGATCCTCGAAATCGGTCAACTGACTACTGATCAATCTGAAATGAGCTGATTTCGAAGATTTTGACCCTGTTGAAAAGAGTAGTAGTGTTTGTTTTATTTTTTTCAAACAATACGAAAAAAAAACCAGACAATTTGATTACTTAATGTTGCTTTAAAAAACTAAAACAAATACCACCAATCGTTTTAACATAATCAAAACCTTCTATATCAGGTCATTTCAGAGAGGTCAACCTTGATTTTCTCTATCAAATGACTATCTTGAAAGTCGACAGGTAATGACAAAATTTTTTATGGGTTTTGTTTCGAAAATAGTCACTATAAGAACAGATCGGTGCTTGATAAAGTCATATGTACTTTTTCAAATATAGAAAACAGCAGAATACTAATTATTACTATACCAGAGTTATTCATAATACAATCAAGTCGATATTGAAAACATCATAATTAATAAAAGAAAAATGTTTATTTTTGGAATTCAATTGTCAATCGTACCTGCTGAATCTCTTCTAGAAATCAAAGAATTTCTTCAATGATCTTTATCAAAATACAGAAATCCTATCTCAAAAAAAACAAAAAGTCGTTAATCTATAGTAACAAACTTTCATTCAAATAACCTTATCAAAAAAAAAAATGCTTGATGATATTGAAATTATATAATTCAATAACTACTTTACTTTGTTTGTTTTTGAGAACCAACCAATATCAACTGTTTATTACAATAAGAAAAAAAAAAGCCCCATACAACTATACTATCTACTGAATATGTTCTTTTTTAAAATGATAAAAGCCGAAAATAAGATAAGAGTAACTAAGCTCTAGGAACTGGTTGAACTTGACCACTTGCTTGTCGTGCTTCATTTGAAGGATATACATCAACAGTAGGACGTGTTTTGAATGTCGATTGTGTTAATGGTGCATATCTTGGTGGTTGTCGATAATCATTAGCATATGAACGAAATGGAACATCAACATAACCTTCATTTCCATATGGTCTACGATTGTAAATATTTGCAGGTGATTGTGATTGCATTGATGAAACAGTTGAAGGTGATGGTGGTGAGTTAACTGTTGATGGAGGACCTTGTTTTACTGATTGAGAAGCAAATGATCTTGCTGTTTGTTGATCTGTTGATGGAACTGTATCTTGTGTTGCTATTAAAAAGATAAAATATATTTTAAAAAGACAATAAATAAAATTCTTGAATAACATACATGGTTGAGTTGGAGCAGGTGAAATTCCTGCAGGCATAAATGGACCATATGATTGAATATCTAAAACGAATATAATGAAATAAAAATTAATATCAACAACAATAGAAAAGAAAAAAAGAAGAATCATATACTTGGACAAATATCAGATGCATATGGAAGTGTATCACAAGGTATAACATCGAGAGCAGGTACTGCACATTGACTTTTAACAGCTAAATGAAGAAAAATAAATAAAAAAAAAAATTTTTTTTTTTTTTTTTCAAATAACATACCACGACAATAAAATTGACATGGAAGAACAAGTGGAGGTTCATGGCGTGCTCGACATGGTTGAAAAAGCATTGGACATAATAAATGACGTAATGAACGAATGCAATTTGGATCTGTTGTTGAACCCATTATAGTTGTTAAAATATGTGCAAGTTGCCAACGATCATAATGACCAAATGTATTTGGTAATCCATATCGTGCTTGCGGTACAGCACCGCACATATCCGAAAAAATTGGATATTTTGGATCAATTAATGAATGACATGATGTACCCATGCTGAACATTGGATTATTATTATATGAACCGAGTGGTACTGGCATCATACTGAAAAACAAATATTAAAAAAAAAAAAGTAACGGAAACTATTTACTTTCGATTTATAAATCGAGACATATCCATTTGATTCTTGTAATATTCATGTAGAGAAGGAACTGCTGCTGGTGGCCAACGTGAACGAAATCGATAATAAGCTTCTGGTGGACTATATGATGGTTGTCGAACATTAGCATTGGATTGTGCTCCTGAAGGTTGATCATCCATTTCATCATCGACTTCATAAATTTTGCCTTGGTAAGCTGCACCTTTTTTTACATTTAATCCAGCATCACCTATATTATAAAAGAAAGTCTTTTACTGTAAAACTTATTATCTATAAAATTCAAAAAGCTTACTATTTTCTTGAGTTTGATCAATCGATGTCGATAAAATAACGACAGCAAACAGTATTGTAACTAGAAGATATTGTTTACTGTACATGGTTAATATGCTTACACTGCACTCGATTTTTCGAAAAGTGATTATGTTTCTATCTAGTTATAGTCCGCTAGAAGAATATAAGAATAATATATCCTTTATTCTCTCTATCTATTTCGAGAGAATAGAATAATGCCTGGATTTAATTGTATATATATATATGCACCGAACATATAAAATAATGTGATAACACTATAGAAAATAAAATCCAGTCCAAAGTTTACTGCCATAGTCTTTCTTTCGTACTGATAATATATATATATCTAATCGATTATGAAAAGTATACAAATCTTTTGACGATAAATTTCATTTCAACGGCTATAGAATAACATAGTCAAGTTATATGCTGAATCATTATGATACCTTGAATAAGGAAAAAAAAAAGAAGAATGTTAGTCTTACGATAAACAGATATACTAGTTTAATAGTATAAACTTACATTTAATTATAGAATATGCTAGTATCTATTTTATCTTACGAGCGAATAATTCCAAGTGATCTTTCATTTATTTACTAATACTGATTATCTAATTTTGTCTTATAAACATTTCTTTAAAACAAAAAAAAATTCCTATCAACTAAAACTTTGATATCATCGTCAAATTTCAATAAGAGCATATATGATATGTAAAGAGCATAAATAAATTATGTTGTTTAACTTTTGTTGTGTCATGTTTCAATTCAAAAAAGAAAAAACCAAAGATTTTTTTTACACTTATGTTTTTCCTAGCTTAGCTTATTACTGTGAAAATACTGCACTTTTACAGTATTTTGTTTTTTAATCAATGTTGTGATTCTCTCTCTCAAAACAGATTTTCGAATTTCGACTCGAAACTTTCATAAACGTCGAAATTTTTCAAGATGTTCATTTGAGTCTACATAATGCATGTAGCAATTTATCAGTTGTGACATTTCTCTTGTAAGTTTAATTTTGCCTAGAACATATATTTGAGTGATGAAGTCTGGCTTTTATTATATGATTGAAAAATGAGATTAATAGTTCGTCATTTTTTATTTTGCATCTAGTTTTTTTCCAAAAAATCCCATCATTTTTTTTATCGTACATCTTAGATTTCTGAAGTGTGCTTCATTGTATTCAATGACTTTTCTTCAGTTTGAAAGAGCGTATCAAGATGCAGAACATGATAAAGACAAGTACACATGTGATTTTTTTACTTGAAAACAAAATTTATTTGTTCAAAATTATTTCGTATTATACATCATCATTCGATACTGTTTAATATTCTTATTCGAAGTATGTTATGTATAGAGTTTGACAGTGCTAAAACAGCTTAACCATTCTCGATATTTATCAAATATCAGATATACATTTATCATATAAATTTGATTAATTGTTTTGTTTTTGTCATTTTATTAACATAAAAGCATTGACTTTATATTCATATTCACTCATAGGGGAAAAAAAAAAAGGCATATATCAAACTATTAATAGCTAATCATTTGCATGACTAACCACAAAAAGCCATTGTTTAGAATAATTTCCCATCTTACGAAATATTAATCTAATGATTCATATATCTTCGTTGATGACGTATATGGCAAATATATTTTAATCAAAAAATGAAATTATCTACTGTAAAAAAAAGGAAACCGAAACGTGCAAGAAATAGAAAAAAAAAAAAAATTCAATGATAGTTTTATTTTTGCGTCTAATTGAAATCAAGTTCTATTCTAATAGATCGTTTATCGACATCTATCGTTGGGTTTTTTTCTCGTGTAATCACCAATAATAACAATAGTTATGAGTCAATGGATTGTGTGAGTTAAAGAAGAAGAAAAATGAATAAAATGTTGCATTGTGAAAGTTAATATTCTTACATCATTATTCTTTAAAAAAAAACGACAACAAAAACATAGTAACCATGTTAACTAGTATGGCACGTCGACCACCAACTCATGTTCATAATATGAATGGACTACATCATCAACCATATCATTCAAAACCGACAAATAATAATAATAATGATGATGATGATGATAATGAAGAAGAACGTGATGCACGACGAATTCGTTCACGTATATTAGCTAATAAATTATCTGAATCTTTATTACAACGTTCATCATCAACAACAACAAGTAAAGAAGATTCAATTGAACAACGTATTAAAACTGCTATTGATATATGTGATATTGATACATTACGAGATATTTATTGTCAATCATCATGTCGAATATCAATTGAACGTCGTTTTAAATCTGGTGGATGGACAGCTTTAATACATGCTGCTTATTCATGTCATTTTTCTCTTGTATCATTATTTATCTTAGAATTTGGTGCTGATGTTAATAATAAAAGTTGTGAAGAAATGACACCATTAATGGCATGTTGTATGTCATCACATTCAAAAAGTTCAACAACAAATGGTAATGATGAACAATTATCTATATGTCGATTTTTACTTGAACATGGTGCACAAATAGAACCATCATTTGATATAGCCAATGATAAAATTATGACACCATTAATGTTAGCTGCACGTTTTGGTTGTTCACCATCTTTAATATATTTATTAGTTGAATATGGTGCAAATATAAATCGTTGTGATTCAAAAGGATGGTGTCCATTAATAATGGCTACACAACATGGTCATTTAGGTTCAGTTAAAGCTTTAATTAATTCTGGTGCTAATCTTAAATCAACAACTAATAATGGTTTAACAGCTCTTGATATAGCCCAACATTTAAAATATGAAACTATTGTTGAATTTCTACTTGATGAACAAATAAAATCAGTAAGTTAAAAAACAAAAAAAGATAATTTATGGAATGTATAAAAGAATATTATATTTTTCGTTGTTAGTTTAAATAGATATTTACAGATAGATAAACAAATATATATATATTTTTTTTTTCTTTAGACTAAATCATCTTCTTGTTCGTTATCATTATGTGATAATCAATGTAAATTAATAAATGAAAATGTGAATAATCAAATAAGAAATATTGATGAAGAATTTGTTAATAATGACAATATTTTGCAATTATCACTAGATAATCAAAAGAATGAACAGTCATGGAAATCAATGATTTATATAGGAATTGCAACAGCTATTGGTGGTGCTCTTCTATTTAGTTTTGTGCATATGAAACGATAGCAATATAAACTATCTTTTACTTTATTATTATTTTCATTTGTTCATTTTGTTATATATTCTATCATTTTATTTCATTTTTTTTTTTTTGTGAATAAATATCTCAAGTCAAGAACAAAGTTTGTAGATGGCATGTGTCCTTGAGTTACTATATATGCATTTGAATAATCAAAGGAAAGAACGAGAAGCAAAAAAAAAGCAATGATGCATGACTTCTATATAGTCGTATGTAATAATGACTCTTTTTTCTTTTTGCTTCGGTGTATGAGACTTGAAGGTGAGTGTCTCTATTGATAATTCATCGTTCCAAAATTTTATCGTTATTACTATATTTCTTTACTCATCAGATACCTACTTGCGACAGTAGTATACATAGTAAACAAGGTAATAGCAAGGACATATATAATATTTAGTCACAAATTTTTATTATGGCTACAATTCCTAATACAAATCTTCCAACTGTGGATAATAATGTGAATACTATTACTAGTGATGATCAGAAAAAGAAACAAGAGGACGAAGCAAAAAAAATACTATTATCATCAAGTGATAGTGATCAAGGTGGGACAACAACAAAGAAAGTCGATGATTTAAATAATTCTGTACAAAAAGATAAATTATCATCAGTTGAATCAGCTAATAAAGGTATGACATAAATTATAATATCTTTAATATTTAATAATATATCAGATATTAATATAGAAAAAAAGAATGAAGGTATTAAGATTGAAACAACTCAACAAAAGGAAGAACCGAAATCTCCATCTGTTTCTTCTACTTCAATTCAGGAAACTACAACAAAACCAGAAGTTAAAACATCTTCTACTGATCCAAATACTAATAAAGATACTATTAAAGTTGAATCAACATCAATTACTTCTAGTTCAAATAAAGATCAAAATAAACATGATCATACTGACTTTTCTATTGGAAAAGGTGATTCAAAATATCTAACAGATTTTCAACGTCAAAAAGCAAAATATTTTTTTCATATTAATCTTGGTATGAGATTTTAATTTAAAAATTAAATTATTAATTTTATTTTATTTTTTATAAATATTTAGATATTGAAAATAAAGAATATGTAACATGGGAAGATGTTGAATTTTATTTATTAGTAAGTAATATATAAATATAAGAAAAAAATATTTTGAAAAATTTTCTTCATAGTTTCATGTAACAGCTGCAGGAAAAGAAGGATCAGATGGTGATGATTTACAAGCACGTTTAAGTCGATCTACAAGAGCTTTTTGGGAACATGTTCATGATCAAATTCCATTACCTGATGGAAAACGTGATACATTAACATTAGACCAATTTCTTGATACATGGGCTAGTCTTGTTGATTATGTTGTTCGAACAAATCAATTACCTCCAATTATTCAAGATTTAGTTAAACTTGGTTTTGAATTATATGCAACTGATGATCATAATGAAATGTCATCAACAATTGAACCTAGTGCATTTGATCAACTTTTTCAAAGAACAAATTTAAGTCGATCACATGCTATAATGGCATATCAGTTTCTTACTGACGTAACTATCGCTTATTTTTTTTTTACACTAACTATATATATATATATATCTGTTGCATATTTAGAATGGTACAAAACCATTAGATGCTGATAAAGTTGAGTCAATTGTAAAAGCAGTGATTACATCTTCAGATGAAGAACATGATTCACATTTTCTTCTACCAGGTTTCTTTAATGTAATAGGTACTGATAAAAATAATGAAAAAGACAACACAAGAAAGTCACGTTCACCGACTCCTGAAAAGAACCAATCGGAAGTCAATGAGAAATCTTCATCAACGTCAACTTTTCAATCGCAACAACCAAATACATCATCAATTTCTGAAACACATGAAACTTCTTCAACATCTGTACAAGACCAAAGTCAACCCGATTCTTCTTCTCGAAATAAAGTCATTAATGGTTCTACACCAGATCAATCGACTAATCAACAACAACAACAACAAAATCTAAATCCACCATTCGAACAATCACCAATAGCTGTCATTCAAAATGAAGATGAAAATATTCGTCGACTTTTACGATTTTATCATATGGATGATGGTGATATTGTTGAAGTTGCTGATGGTTCTGTACCACGTGTAGTTCGAGTTCATCCTGAACGACCTTTGCCACCTTATGTTCAACAAAATCCACAAGTAACACAAAATTTACCAAAAGGTTTGCATGTCATATATATCATTATCACGATTAAATTTTTTTCGTTGTTTCTTTTTTTCTTCTCAAATAAATTAGATGCAACAAATATCTCAGCACAACCACAGAGTGGACTCAACATTCTACCTAATCTATTGCAAAATAATACAAAACAATATCAACAAAAATCTACAATTACAACAGAAACAAAACCAAAAATAACATTAGACGAACGTTTATCTCGTGGTGAAGCACAAACAGGTCCTACAATACCATTACGTCAGGATCAACAACAAGAAAATTTATCATCAACACGTATACGTCAAGTATATCCACATATAAATGAAGTTCAACAAGAAGAACAATTAAAACAAGCTAAAATTCAAGCAAATCAAACTGTTAATGATGAAAAAAAGACAAAAGAAGAACCTTCAACAGCTAGTGATATATCATCACCGAAACAAGATAAAACAAAAGAAAAGAAAGAGATAACTCGTGAAGATGAAGAAAAAATTGTTGCTGCTGTTTTAAAACGATTAACTCCAATAGTCGAGAAAAGAGTTTCAGATGAATTACGTCGTATTCAGAGTGGTGAAACTGATCAATATGAAGACGAAGACTTTATGCCATTTCCATTTATGTTCACTTCTGGTGGTGGTCCTTTTTTTATTCCTCCACGTGGAGGTCCACCACCACAAGCATTTAGACCACCACCATCTGGACCACAACAACAAAATTTTCAACAAAATACAGCAAATCTCAGACAACAACAACAACAACAACAACAACAACAACAACAGCAGCAGCAGCAACAGCAAGCAAATTTACCTAGAGTAAGAAAATAAGAATTATGAAAACTTTAATTTTGTTTTTTTTTTCGTATATGATATTAGGAAGCTGAATTTATGGGACTACCACCAGGCGCTGCATTCATACCTCCTCCATTACTTATGGCTATGATGAGTGATTTAGCAAGAGGAGGTATGGGAGCTGAAATGCCTGTTTTTCCACCAAACATGCCACCTCCTCACAATATTCCAGGTGGTATTCCTACAGGTCTTGAAGGTTAATCAATAGCATAATCAAATTAATTGATAATTTCGAATTTTTTTGTTATTTTAGGTTTTATGGTGTTTGTTGATGAAGAACCAATGATGGGTGTTCCACCTGGTTATCCACTACGTCCTGAACCTCGCTTTTAACGTTGTTTCTTCTTAGATTAAAAAAAATCACTTTTTTTTACTCGTTCTTGCGCTTTTTTTAAATTTCTTAATAAATTATTCTACTACTTAACAAACGAATATTCATTTCTTATACGATCAGAATGAACTGTCTATGTTTATCTCATTGGACTAACGACTTATCATTAGAGGTGTAAGCCATCCAGCTGCGACGCCGCCGCCGCTGCTGTGAAAAAGTTAATTCAGCCGTTGCGCCACCGCCATGAACGAAAATTTTTGATAATAGGATGATGCGCCGCCGCCACTGACATTGTTAGGAGCAAAAACGTTTTTGTGTTTTTTGGTTGTCAAAGCCGCCGCCGGTGCAGAAAAACATAGTCTAGTAGGCGCCGCCGCCGCCATGGAAAAATATTGGACCATTAAAAAAGCCGTCACCCTTTGATCCTTCGGCTTACACCTCTATTTATAATCTAAGACTTTTATTCATACTCACAATCATGTTATTGCATAAGAACGTTTATACTATGACGAATTGAACGGACATTAAATATAAAGTCTTTCGAATTTTCTATATAATAATATTTGATAAAATAATGTTTATTTTAATTTTAATAACTACGTAGAAGAAATTTATTTTTCTGTTAATACAAATAAACTCATCAACCTTCATCACATTCAAGTGCAAATTTATCGTCCTGCTCATTGTTAATAATTTTGTTTGATTCTTTACACATCCAATTGAATTCTAATGTTTGTAATCGACTATCAATTGAATTTTGAATATTAAAATATGGTGAATTATCAAGTTCATTTGCACGATTATATAATTCTCTTGCCCATTTTAATAAAGTACTTGCATGTTTTAATGATAATTTTGATGTATTTTCAGCTTTTTCAACAAAATTCTTTGCAAGATCTCTTATTAAACGAATAAGTAAACATAGACAATCATCAAATATTAAAAGATTTGATTTATAATCAAATGCCCATTCATAAGAGAATATATTATCATTAACTAATATATAAATAATATGAACACGTTGAATAATTATTGGAACAATTTCTTCACCAAATAAATTTGATGTTATAAATATAATTTTCATTTTTGATTCAACTCGTTTAAAAAATTCTAAACATTCATCTTTATTACTAAATATATTTAAAAATTTTTTAGTATTTTTTCTTTTAGAATTTATTTGTATTAAATCATCAATACAAAGTTCATAATCTAACATTGGTCGAGCAACATCTAATGTTGTTGTTATAGTAAATTTATGTTTAAGATAACGACAATTATCTGGATGTCCAATATATGAATCAAGCCAAATAATTAAATAATCAATTTGTGGTGAAAAAGATGAAGTTCGTTTACGTTTACGATCATTTGATAAATAACTTCGTGTAGACATTTGTGGTGGTATCATAATTCGTCCATTTAATGTACTAACACTAGTTCTTGATAAACGATCTTTTAGGTTATCAAAATATTCTTCATCAAGAATTATATAACGTCTATAACGTGAATCATATATTTCTAATAAATAATTATCTAATATAAGTTTGTATTGATTAGTTATCATTTGTATAAGATCATCATAATGAACATTGGGATTTACAAAAAAAGAGTGAATTCTATGCGAAAAGTACATGATTAAATTCCACGAAGCCATTATCAAATAAGACAATGCGTGTATAGTTTTCGTCACTCAGTATTGCTTGAAAATTTGACGTTTTGCTTTCATTTATTCGTTTGTTTTTTTTCGTTGCAGTTCGAAGAAAGGAAGAAAAGAACGAAAAAAGGTACCTACTAGCGTATCATTCTTGTGGCTTGGAAGTTTCAAACTACTTCGGAATTTTACATATTAGTCATGATCGTCTTCTATATAATAAATATACTAAATATTTTCTTACATCTTACAACAAAAAACAACTTTTATATGGATTCATCCGACCAGTCAACTGAAACCTTAGTTATATGTGGTACTATGGCAAAATCCACTAAAAAAATTAATGAAAGAACAAATATTGAAGAAGTTCATGAGTATGTACGTAATGCATTTCGCTCAAGTCTACCACAATCATATCAAATTATCGTATATGATGCCACAACAATGTCCTTTGTTGATCTTAAAACTCATTTACAAAATAGATTAACTCAATTTCAATCAAATTCAACAATCGGTATCCAAAATATTGCAAATATACCATTGTCTACAAATTTATATGTAGTAAATACTTCGCCAATATATCCACATATTCTTTCTTCGAATCGTACGAATAATTATTTGATTATAATTAAAGAAACCAGAACAATATACAAAACTCCTTTATTTTTTTTTAATAGAAATTCAACATGATCAAACTCTATCCAGTGATAGTTATGACAATTCAATGATTGATGAAACTCATAATGAATCAAGTAACAGTTTTATTATTAAATTTATAAAGAAATTAGAATCTTTTGTTCTATATAGACTTTTTTTTAAACAATCTTACAACAGATGATGACATTTTACGGAACAATAATGAAATTTTATTACAAATAACTGAAGGTAACTTTCAATTAAAATTCTATTTATTGATAATCATCATCATGAGTACAGTATTCTCATATATTGTCTTTTCTTTTGAAACGTGTTAGATCTATCATTAACGACAACTCCATCTTCTATTGAACTACCACAAAGACGTGATATATTATCAAATCGATTGTTCTTTTCATTAGATGTCAAATCTATTCAAAGAAATATTTATAAATCTGATCAATTCTGTATGCGTTCAGAGAAACCTAATGGACGTATTGCTCGTATACAAGGTGTCAAGACAGATAAAGAAAAAATGCGTCAAATTTTGCCAAAACTTCGAGTAAGTGTATTAAAAAATTGACAGATGAACTAGAATATTTTATTCATTAAATATTTCAATGGAATATTTTAAAAAAAAACTTCTCTGTTGTTTAATTCTTTATAGATACCATTAACTGCTCTTCAACCTAATGTAACACTTCTCATAGTAGTTGTATTTGAAGAAATAAAAAATGGCATGCGAATTTGGTATAAACATCCTCATAAAGGATTTTTACCAGAGCAATATACAAAAAATACAGATCCAATTAATCCAATTGAATTGAATTTAAATGGAAATAATTTAACAAGTGATGGAGATTTAGTGTATGTCAAATTGAAATAAATCTTTATTAATTTGTATATTTTTACTGTTTAGATTAAGTCTACAGATGATAACGAAATGGGATAAATCTAAAAAAGAATTCGAAAAAATTCATCAATTGGATGAAAAAAACGTTCTTCGATTACATCGAGCATTACATGATAATTATTCACCACGTTTATTATGTGTTCTTGTACGAAATGGTTTTCCTGATTGGGATACATTTTGTTTGTCAGATTTTATTCGATCACGTAAGAAAGATAAAGAGTCATTAAAATTTAAAATCAATATTTCTTTTCTTATTTAGCAAAATCTGTTAAACAAAGATCTTCAAGTGTTATTACAGGTTTGTTTTTAATTTATCTCTTTTTAAATTGATATTCTATTTTAAAATTATTTTCTTTTTAGAACGAACTTGTTCACCACAACGAAAACGATCAAAAGTAAATGATTGTTATGTTTTATAATTTTTAAATTATTTTTCTTCTTTTAGATCAATACAAATTTTAATGATATCGATCAAATTGTACAATAAGCTCAAAAAATTATCTTAATTTAGAAATTTTAATGTGCATCACTCCTGATTTAATTCGACTCAAATTATCTAATTCAAGGAAAAAAAAATAACGTGAAGAGAAAACAGAAGGAAAGGCTAATAGGAAAATGACGTCAAGTCTGATATGTTCTCATTTGTAATTAAAATTTTTCATAGAGAAATATACAACAACGATATGAAACTGTGTTTTGTACACAGCAATAAAATATTTCTTTTACACAAATTTATATCATCTTTTCTTTTTGTTATTTTTTAAGTATCTGAACTATGACTGTATACATATTTTTTTATTCATTTAACACTATAAGCATGGGGTCATCTATATAGAACGCGCAGGTAAAAATCTTAGGTTTTATCTCTTCCTTCTCTTTGTCCAGTTTCATCAATTTCTTCCTGAACATCGTGTAGAAAAAAAACACACAACTTTTTAGAAATAGATGACTTATTCAGATATATCGGTGCCTCTTTATTAAATACACATATATCAACAATTGAAGTGAATATAAAAACCTTGTCATGTACGGCTAGAGTCCTGCGGGACAGTTCCGAATCCCGAAAAATCCCGTTGATCCCGTCCCGTGGGACAAACGAGATCGGGACAAATCAAAAAATAATGTTGTCCCAAAATTTTTGAGCTTGTATATCGAAATCCGTTGTAAACTTAAAATTTCATTTTGTTCACAAACATTTTAGTACTTAAATAAAAAGTGTCAACGAAAAACACAAAAAAAAAACAAGCCACGAGATGTTTTAATGTTTGTCTATTATCATTC